GCTGGCACCGTAGTGGCACACGGGCAACCCTGGACGTTAAGTGTAAGTGAGTGCGAATACGTACTACATGTGGGTGAACTGTGGCGACAAGCACGGGACCGAGAAGAGAATTTCGTACGGGTTGACGTCTTTCTCTCAAGGTTTTCCTTCCATGCTTGTACGGATTGAGGTGAGGTGTTGGCATCAATTAACGGGAGAACAAGCGGACAACATAGGTGCAAATTCGAGTCGCAGTGCAGACCGGGTGGACACTCCCCTCTGTCCGAACATGGTAGTGAACTGTTAAAACCACCAGCACATGTGCCTAAAGCTATTTTTTGTGCAGTGTGCAATTAGGGGTGTGGCAAGTGGAACCAAAGAGTTAAAGTGCAACGCACTGCCATCGCCGGCCGCCTTCACCAGTACGGCATCCAGATCGGCAAGATGATGTGGAAAACCGTAACCTGGTGGTCCGATAGGCCAATCATTTTCTTCAACCTCATTAGTGGTGCTGTTAGTTTGTGCTGATCTAGGCTTACGTTTTCTGGCTGGAAGCACATGCTGGGTTAGGGTTATTTTGGATATAAAGTTTATACTTACTTGCTACAGCTGCATATGATGGAACGGAACCGGAACTGCAGCAGTAACCGTTGTTACAGGTACCCGTGGAGCACGGGTTTGTATTCGAGCACGAGGAGTAAGTACATACGAGTCCACTTGCTTGTTGCCCTGAAATATGTCAGTTCTACCTCTGTCATGCTACATTCTATCCTAATGTACCGCAGCTCCACTTTGAATGTTTTTAAAATGTAAAATTAAATGAATGATGAATGTTCAAGCATGCTGTTAGGTTTGAAAATAGTTTATTTTTTATTCATGCAATGGGAAAAGGGCAAGAAAAGCAAAATAACAATAAAAGAAGATGTCGTTGCGTCTTTCATAGCCGAGGTAGAAGCACTTCTGAAAACAAAAATCAAAATTTTCATTAACAGATTCATCCGGCAATGTCACCTTTATATATAAGGCTGGCAGCATCTTCCCAGTTGATTGCAGAAGTACGGTGAGGGACACTGTAGGCTGTAACGACAGTGATCACCGAATCGGGGATACACTTCGATACTGCCCGGTGGGCATGCCGACTGCAGCGAGGATGGTTGATCTGAAGGAAACGCATTCGATTTCTTATAGCTCTTTTCGGTTCGTCTAGAGCTTTTCGTGCCAGTGTCGTGCTAGCGCCGTTCCACCACCTTGCTAACGTCGTACTGAGCCTCGATCCATAATTACAGGGCTGCTGGCTGAAAGAGCGTTAGCACGGCGCTGGAACAAGGTTGGCACAGCACTGGAACAGCGCTGGCACACCACTGGAGCGGCGCCGGCACAGAGTCG